GAAGTGGGTGTTCTGTGTGGCCTGTGGCACGCCGCCTGTTAAACGTGAGTGATGAGTAGGATTGCCTGGCTGACCCCTTGGGGGAAGTCAAGTTCCTAATGGGTGTGGGACAGGGTTTTTCCTCGTCCTTGTCACCTGTGGCGCGAGGGAGGGTGCGGGCAGAGCAGGGAGGGGCGGAGGGGAGCGGATAGGGAAGCGTCAGTTCTCGGCGTTTCAAAGTCAGCCAGCAGCGTTGCTGCTCTGGCTGTTGGAGGAACTCTGCCTGCAGAGCCCTGGAAAACTGCAGCAATAAGAGGCGATTTGTGTCTTAGTCTCTCGGTTGAGGTGGTCTTACCGTGGTAGACACCAGGTGAAAAATGGCCCGCTATTGTTTTCCACCTAAAGAAGGCTAGAGAGCTCCCTGTGGCGCAATGTTCAGGTGATCGGTCATGCCAGGACCGTGCTGACAGCATTCTTTGTCACCTGGAGGCCAAATTCCAGATGAGGGCTAGCATTCCTGGAGGCAGGGCAGGACAAGATGCGCAGGCCACTGACATGGCCTCTCAGGCGGGGGACCTCCCAGCCTCCCTGGTCGGGACTTCTCCTTTTGCTGTTCTCTCACCCTGTGCAGCACCAGTCTGTCCTGGGGGTGACGCCAGTGGATGTCGTACCCAGTGTAGAGAGCTATGTTGCACCCCTTGGTTCAGCCCTGCTGGAGGTGAGTTTCTGGAGCAAAGGAGCACGTGAGGCTGCACTCTTGGTGGACAGGGCTTGCATAGGTCATTGTATAATAAACCGTACTGCCAGTAACACAGTGCTGCCCTTTCGCTGCCGTCCCGTAGTCGCAGTCATTGATAATTTCTCAAGATGGTAGGTGCCCACACACCTTCTGTGCCTGGCTATTTTCTGGTTCCTGAATTTTTGTGGCATTTGAAAGTATAATCAAGTGCTCATCGCTTAATGCTGGGTGCCGCTTTGCACTGCCTCGCCTTCTCAAAAAATGCCACAACGCCTCGTGTACTTTGCATGACCCAAGGTATCTTTTTGGGCAGTTGGTACTTGAGGTCTGTTGCGTGGCTGTATGGTGGTGGTACTGTACCTCTTGCAGCACTACAGCTCATTCAAAAATGCGCTTGCGATGATTGATCTCCATTATTAGCGTGCTTTGAAGTGATATCCACCAAAGACCTCAGCTGTAGTTAAGAACGTGGGGGTCATCTCTATGCATCAGGTTTGGGTGTTAATTTTTCAGGTCTGCTGGAGCAAAAATGCTTGAGTCCAGGTGTGGTTCTGCATGTTAGGTGAGCATCTTGAGAGCTTCTCCACAGAAGTAAAATTAGTGTAGGTGTCTGGAAGCATATCGCTTCTGACTTTGCTGTCCCTGAACTGTTTTGAACGGTGGTGATGGAGGCGCTTGGTTACCACCCCAAGCGCTAGTCCTGCCCGAGATAGCCATGCCTGGTGGTCAGAAAGGTTACGTGTTTCTTACACACAGCAGTTGAATATTCTTGGTCCTGTTTTCAGGGCAGACCTCAAAGATCAGTTACAGTTGCTTTTCCTGGGAGTGTTGGGATAGGTGTGTGCGAACTTCTGGTTTGCTGGCCGCAGAAGGGCTCCTTGGGTCTTCCATCGTGCCAGAGTTCATCCTCTCTTTTTAGCGGAGAGCCAGAAGCACGGTCAGATTCAGGCAGTCTTCCTCTTGTCCTTTCTCTTAGCTGCTTCCTGTTGCTCTGCAAATAGTGGGTTCTTCCAGGAGCTGCCTTGTAAGTACCTGGGGGCTTTGTGACTGTTCCTGCAACCGGAGCTGCCTGGGATGCGGAGCGAGGGGCTGGTCTGAGCATTGCTTGCTGGTGCTTTTTATCGGGATTGCAAGTGGGGGCAGCTAAAGACTTGTGATGGTCCGTGAGCAGCAGAGCCTGCAGCCCAGGAGCTGCCTGTTTGGGACAGGGGTACTAACTGCTTAGGACAAAAACTGCTCCCTGGCAGCTCAGACATCATATGTATTTAATATTTTATGGGTTGAGAGTTACTGAAGGATTTGGGTGAAAATACGTAGTGCATCAAGCAGTGGTTTTTGCTAATAGTTTATATTTTATAGTATTGCTTTCTGCTAAAGTTTAAACTGAAAGGCTGGTGGAAGACTGATCTCGGGGTGGTTAACTGCCGGCGAGTGTAAAAGGCAGCGATTGCACGTTCTTGTGATGAAGAGTTTGTTGTCGTACTGAGGCTGAAGCTGTTTTGCCGAAGGACAAGGCTTGCAGACAGAGTTCATGAGAGTGGGTGCAGCAGTGTCCTCGCTCTCCCTCCAGGCTTGTCCTGCCTGTGCTCTTAAGAGTACCTTGCCTAAAGCAGAGTGAAAGTCTGCCTGCATGCTGTGAAGGGCACCCTTCATAATTCGTTAAAAATGGCTCCTTTACGAAATAGAAGGGTTGATTATCAACAAAATCAGAGCATCTTTTAAACTCTGGTGGTTCCGCTGTTGGAGGTGGAATTAATTTACATAAAATTCAGGTTAATTTGGTGAAATTAAACCACTTTTAATACTGAGTTGACTAACTGAAAGAAATGTCTATAAAAACCATTTATTGGGGCTTTGACACTTAGTTTAAGGAATTTTTCAACCTTAAAGAACGTCAGTTATTGAGGGACTGTGTGTTGTCTTTGCCACAAATTTAAAGGACTTATCCCCAAATGTGGCTTTCCCCAAAAGAAATTGATGGAAAAAAGTGTGTATGTCCTGGCGTTTCTGTTTCTCGGGTCTGTGTAAGTGGGAGAAGCGCTTACGCTGCTTTACAGACACCTTCTGTGGCTGTTTGTTCTCTGCCTTCCACACTTGCCTTTAGAAGGCTGAATGTGTTCAATACTTCTCTGAAAGCTGCAGAAATTTGCATTTCCGTAAAAGAGTTGTCGTGGTTTAACCCGGCTGGCAACTCAGCACCATGCAGCCGCTCGCTCACTCCCCCCTCCCTCAGTGGGATGGGGGAGAGAATTGGAAAGAAAATAAAAGGTTAGAGCCGAGGGCTGAGATAAAGACAGTTTAATAAGAGAAAATAATAATAATAGTAATAATGAGAATGATAACAGAATATACAAAACGAATGAGGCACAATGCAATTGCTCACCACCCGCTGACCGATGCCCAGCCCGTCCCGAGCCGCGAGCAGTCTGCATGCGACCGACCGACCGACCTAACTAACCCCCCCCGAGCATGACGTTCTATGGTATGGAATAGCCCTTTGGTCAGTTTGGGTTAGCTGTGCTAGCTGTGCTGTACTCCCAGCTTGTTATGCACCTGGGCGAGCAGGAGAAGCTCAAAAAGTCCTTGAGTAGTCTGAGCACTACTTGGCAACAGCTGAAAACATCAGTGTGTTATCAACATTCTTCTGGTACTAAATCCAAAACACAGCACTATGCTAGCTACTATGAAGGAAATTAACTCTATCCCAGCTGAAACCAGGACAGAGTCAACGAATGTCAGGGTAATGTGAACTTGCACAAGTAATTCCCTACATACTGCAAATTGTAAAGGGAAATGCATTGTGAACTTTGCTCTCAGTGTCTTTTTCTTTTTCCTTTCTAGCCTCCCAGACGAGAGACTGCAAGTGCTGGCCTGCCTGAACAAACTGCGACAGCAGCACGTGGATGTCATGAAGGTAGCCCCAGCGCTGCCTGGGGAGGATGGATGCGCCATGCTTGCAGGGCCTGGCCAGTGTTGCCGCGCTGCCTCTCCCTGTCTCTGCCTCCCCTCCTTCTGGCTCGGTGGTGCCAGCTGGTGCTGGGGAGGGGCAAACTTCCAGCCCTTCTCCTTGGTAGTGGTTGGTCTGTGAAAACCACACTAACCAGAAGTATTGTTGAAATCATCAGCAAAGAGCTTTATGTGGGTGCCTGGTGGTTGGGAGAGATGGAGTCAGCGGATGAGCTGTTTGAAAGGCATTGAGAAGCTCCCCTTTTGCATCCCTCTGTGTAGAGCCTCCCCTTGCAGTTTTTTTGTTACCTTAGCCCCAGGCCTGGGTTAACAGACTCCTCCTCGCTTCCACTGTTTGCCGTGTCCAGCAGATTCTCACAGTGGCATGTGCTAGTTTAACTCGGGCTGGGGCTGCTTGTGATCCTTACTGGTCTGCACATCTGCTGGAGCCCAGTCTGCTCCATGGCCGAGAGGAGAGACAACACAGGAAAACCTTATTTCCTCAGTATTTTACCAAGATACGTGTGTGATGAAACGTTTTTACCTGCTGTTTTGAGGCGAGGGTTAAATGTGTGTGTTTCTCTTCTCTAGTAAGTCACTGTAGTTACTCAGCTTAAACCGGTCCCTTAAACCGTGTGCTTTGGGATGATTGGGCAGTACTTCTTTTGTATTTCAGTTTTCTCGGGGTCTGCATTTTGCTTTGTGAAGGAGGTAAGAATCGTAATTTCCACTCTGCAGAATTTCACTCTATTTTAAAACACCTGAACAACGTCAAACCAAGCACTTCTTGTTGGGTATTTCAGACGTGTTCTGCTTTACCTGGAATAGCAGATTAATAAAGAGAGCGGGTTTCTCAAGTGTTAACTTTTGGAACATCTACATGGGTGCAGATAAAGTCAAAATCTCTAAGAATGTTAATTCCTTTGCCCTCTGGAACACGCAGCTTTGTCTCTTTTGATGTCATGCCTGAGTAGTTCTCCAAGATAAATTTTGATATGTGGTAGGCGGGATATGGCTGTGGATATGGAGAAAACGCAACCATCACTCCTCCCACCAAATACCTGAACATTCTAGATATCCTTTACCTTGGTGCCTGTTTCTCTTCCAAGTCAAATTTTAAATGTTAATTATGCTATTGTTTGGCTTTCATAGGTTTTTAACGATCCAATTCATGGGCACATTGAAATACATCCCCTTCTTGTCCGCATCATCGACACGCCTCAGTTTCAGCGCCTCCGATACATTAAGCAGCTGGGCGGCACTTACTTGGTTTTTCCAGGAGCCTCTCACAACCGCTTTGAGCACTCTATAGGGTAAGATGATATTGTCTCGCATGCGCGTCTCTTGCGTTTGGATTTCCCCCAGTTTGGTTCCACTAACCAGGGGCATTGCTGTCTTGGAGCATTGGTGAAAACTGCTGCGGTAGGATTTTTGGTCTCTCAAATGTTCCTGGGTATCCTGTGTGATTATGGGCTGTTCCCTTCAACATCATTTAATAAAGATGGATAAAGAAACCTGTAGGGTGGATCAATGTTAGATTCTCTCCCCCACCCCTTCTTCTAAGAATAATGATAATGAAAAACTGTGAGTGCTTCATGTTCTCCCCAGTCAAAATGTGAGTTTTAAAGCGTAAACCTGGGAAGGATACTGGGGCTGCTATAAATGACTCGCCAAGCAGTTGTAATCCCTTCTATTGTCCAGCACAGCTGAACCCCATTTTATCTGTAACATTTGCATTGGTAGTGACACCTGCTTCATGCAAAAGATGGCACATTTTCAGCCTGTTGGCTGTAATGTCAGTCGAACAGAAACAGGTGATGGGCAGGAGGATTCACAGGGCATTGCTAGGCTGTTTGCATTCCACAGAGAAGCTGATTAGTGACAAATTGAAGCTTGTTTTAAGGGTATATCCCAAGGTGCAGAGAAATAAGACTAGTCGGCCAGACTAAAGCTGCTTTTGTTAGTCCTGAAATACTGTGGAGTCTGGCTTAGCCCCTGCTCTGGCCCCTGCTCCTGACACTGACAGGACGCAACTGGCTGTTGCAAAAGGGTCAAATCAGTGAGGCCAGGTGGAATTGATTGCTTCTGGTAAACTTGAAGAGAGAAAAATGCAAGGGATGTAAACACAGCTTTCACAACAGGAGTCTGAAAACTTCAGTGGTATCGTTAGCCTTTTCTTTTAAACAGTTCAGTTAATCTATGTAGTTGAAGTTAGCCCTGTTGTTCTCAACTTGTATGTCGCCTCGAAGCTTTCCGCAGTGTTAAAATAGAAGAAGTGAGCTTTGTGTGCTTATTGGTCTACTAAAAAAGCACCAAACAGTAAACTTGGGTCTAATAAAAGATGCTACCTCATCATATAAAACCTTGCCGTGCTTTAGGACGTTCTGTGGCTGAGGCAAGTAGAAAAGGAGGTTGGTGTGGAGCTTGTAAACAGTTGACAGGAGTGTGTGCCATTCCTACTGCTCTCCTGCTGTGAGAACCGAGGGTCCCATTCAGTGAAATTAAACGTCAAATCTAAAATGAATAAGAGGAAGGGCAGTAATTGTCATAAGCTATTGTTAAAGTCACAATCTGAAAGAAGAACCAAACGCTTTGGTGGCTGTCGTGCGGACCTTTGCAGCTGCACTGACTGGAAGTCAAAGGGCAATGCAAAAGCTGTGGTGCTTCGAGGTGCACGCTGTCAGCCCTGCACTGCTGTTCGCTTACATGGTCGCTCAGAGGTTGTGCATTGTGAAATACCATAGGATGACCTCGTCTCTATGTCTTGGGCATGGCATCTCATGCTTTTTTGCTTTCAGATGTGTTACTCTGCTACAGGAAACAGTTTGTGACTCTTTTGCAGGTCAGGGCTTGAGGATCTGTTGAGTGCTGCCTCTCAGAGGAGGGCTGTGACTTAATGGAGCAAAATAGGATAGGTGAACTGCGCTGTTCAGCCTAAAACACTACTATATTCACTTTTTTTTTTCCCCCTGTGGCAGGGTGGGCTACCTAGCAGGATGTCTGGTTCGTGAACTGAAGGAGAAACAGCCAGAACTGGATATAACCCAACGAGATATCCTCTGTGTAGAAATTGCTGGGCTTTGTCATGATTTGGGTAAGCAGTAGCAGAGATGGCTTTTTTACTCTTTGAAAGCGAACCTGGATGAAAAGCGAGAACACGAGAGCTGTTTTGGGCTGCTCAGTGCGTGGCTGTATTCCGAGGCGGGATTTACCTGTCCCTGTTTGGTCCTGAGTACCTCTGCGGAGCCACTTTTAGCTAGATTTTTTTGTCTTGTTTCCATGTGGTGTTTAGAATTCTGCCCTCAGTGGCTGAAGCGCCCACTTCCTTCCGTGATGTCCTCAGGTCTCTTGAAACATTTCAGAGTGAAAATTAGCGTCCCTTTCAAAAATTATTGTGATTATTTTGTAACTACGTATTTTCTCCAGAGCTGGCACAGAGTCATTAACGTTCTCAGTGTCGCTGCAGTACCTGCTTGTGGTGTAGGTAATGGGATGGGCTATGTTAAGTGCAGCAGTACTTAAGGTGACTTAGGAAAGTGTACTCGCTATAGCTGAATCTTCCTCATAGGTGATGTCAAGATCCACTCAAATACAAGAGAATCTAGATCCTTAGCTTGCTTAAAGTATTTTTACTGACAGGCATGCCTCAGATTAAACCTGTGCAATCTTTATTTTCAAGGTCATGGGCCATTTTCACACATGTTTGATGGAAGATTTATTCCTCTCACTCGTCCAGATTTGAAGTGGAAGGTAGGCTTTTCACTAGTCAAGTAAAAACAGGACACTAGAAGGGTCTTTTCGCCACCAGCATCTCCTCCCTGAAAGTGCAAATGCTCTTGAACTCCCGTGTGGTTTCATGAGACCTCTTCGTGTATGTATGCCCTCTTCCTGCAGATGTCACCCCGGGTGACACAGAGGAGAAATGAAATGTCTCAGTCTTGTCAGTGCCTGTAGCGTGACTCTGCAGAGGCAGAATTCATTAGGACTGCACCAATCGTTTTAAGCCAGCATTGTGCCTTAAAATGCGTATTGCATGCTTTCTTCAGAATATGTTTTACAGCTGCAAAATACCAACTGGGAGCTTCCTCCCCAGTTTAAGATTTTAGGTCAAGGCCAGGATGTTTAATTACAGTGTTTAGAACTCAAATTTCAGAAACTCTGAGCAGAGTTCCAAGGGTGAATGAGATGTTATGCGGTCCTTTCAGGCCTCTCTCTGCTTGTAATTACTGAGCAAAATCAGCTGAGGAAACTTGTTAATCTTCTGCACAGCAGAACTGGTTATTTTGCCTTCTAGCATTGTAACTGTCTTACTGCTGTTTGTTGAAATACAAAATTAACAGCGCTCTGCTCATGAGTGCGCTTCTGGGCTCTGTAGACTCGGTGATTTCCCATTTGGTTGGACACAGAATGAATAGAAAAATCACCCAAGTGCTGCACTTTCACACCACTGTGCCTGGGTGCCCTGCCAGGCAGTGCTGCTGGGTTAGGAGAAGGCTGCGACACTGCAGGAAAGATGCTTCAACTTTGTAATGTGTTTCCTTCACAGCATGAAAATGCTTCTGTTAAAATGTTTGAGCACCTGGTCACTTCCAATAAGCTAGAAGAAGTCATGATGTCATATGGTCTTGTCCTGGAAGAAGATATGAACTTCATCAAGGAACAAATAGGAGGGCCTATAGATGAAACCACTTGTGAGACATCAGTGAGTCAGCATGCCACTCCTGTGGTTGTCCCAATAAATGTCTTTGGTTTCACTGGAAGAGTAGATAATTTTTGCTTCTGCTGTGGTTTATTATTTATTTTTATCCCCGTGAAATTCTGAGAATCCTGGCACAAGAGAGGCATAGTGTTTATTTCTCTCAGTGCTGGCAGGAGGTGGGAGCTTCACTGTGTAACGTGCTTACATCTTCCTGAGAAGTTCTCACCTCAAAGTCTTCAGATTAGAGGAAAGCTTAGGAATGCCATTTGTATTTAGGGAACCTAATTCACTGTAAGTAGATTGGTAGAACTGAAAGTTTAATGGCAACCCTAGGTGGCCAGGTTAGGATAACAGCCTGTTTACTGGATGCCCGAAGGTGGCAGTGATGGGAGGTCGTGTTTTCAGGTGGCCCTGAAGAAAACATGGAGATGGTTCAGAGTAATGAGCTGATAATGGGTAACAAAGCTCAGGCCTGGCAGGGATGAGGCAACAAGCAATGGAAAGCGTGGCCCAAGTGCCAGAGGCATCAGCTTCGATGACAGCAGCAAAATACTTGGATTTATTGCAGTAAGAAACATAGAGGCAGGGAAGGAGAGGGTGTGATTGTTAATCCTTGCAACTCTTTGAAAGAATTAAGTCCTCTCTCCTCGCTTTACACTTTACAGCTCTTGTCATCTCTTCAGGGACTCCCATTCAGTTGCTACCAGAACTAAGGACCAGTCAGTGGGAGATCTGTCATGACAATCTGGCCCTAATCAGAAGTTGTATGGTGTCCCAAACAAATCACCCACAAATGTTAGCACTTACCCATTATTCTCCCTTGTAGTAGTGTGTAGTTCTACCAAGTGTACTCCAGTACTCTGATGACGAACATGGGGAACTTAGCATAACAACATTCAGTCTGAGATCTCATGGGAAGGGGGCATTCATTGGCAAAGTCTGCCGGTTGATTTTTACCCACTCCTTTGCACACAAATCTGGCTGCCTGCTGCTGCCATTGGTCTTGTGCCGGGTTCTTGCCCAATATCTGTTTTTCCTTGTTTGGATTCTGTGCCTGTTTTCCACAGGATAACAGGAAAAGGAGCGTCATATGTGATGCGTGGCAGTCTTCTTGCCACCCTCACACTGCTAGGCTGCAGGATCTTCCAATGGCCATCACCTGTACTGCGGTGGTTGTACCAGAGCACAGGCTCCTGTACAGGCATCTGTGCTGTGAAACTGTTCGGTTGCAGGCCTCCCAGTCCTGACACAAACAACTAATGCTTTATGCATTGAGCAGAAGCACTGTCCCGGTAGCAGAGCTCTTTGTGATCAGCACAGGATATTTTTATCTATGACGTGCTCTCTTCCTGCTGCTTACAGGCGTTTCCGTTCTTATTCACATCAATTTTCACGTTTCTGTAGCGCAAACAACATGAGAGCCATTTATCCATTTGCATACAGTGTTTTCTGCCTTCACCATTTCCAGGCCACTTTATGGCATTTTTTGTTTAGCTGAAGAATCATTAAATTTTCAGGAAATAATGTTTACGTGCAACTTGTATCCTATCGTTTTGGTGTTGATTTCCTGTTTGCCTCATGGCTGAATTATCCTTGAGGCTTAGGAGTTGAAGTAGCTGGCTGTTAAACAATTTTAGTTTAAAACCTCTAAATAATTGTTCTAAAACTCTGTTCTATAAAGTTGTATCATTGATTGCAGAAGACTGCAAGACAGTGACACATCTGGGCGCTTAACTAATTCCATGAGGATGATTCCAACATTTTCCCTTCTTTGTCGCTATGCTTTTTTACTTTTTTTTTTTTTGGGGGGGGCGTCTCGCAGCTGCAGGCTTTGCTTTAGCAGACTGAGAAATTAAATACTTGTGTACATGGTTTTAATTCTCCCTGATCTTGGGGGAAGTCAGCTGCTTAAGCACTAGTTCTGGATTTCTAATGCCTGGCAGCTTCTGAAAGCTCTTTTATTGTCTTTGTGTTCTTTGCTACCTCTGTGTGGGTGTTTATCACCAGCAAAATCAAAGCGTATTCCCACTGTCTTTAAAAAATTGTTCTGACATTGTTTGCACATTTTAATTTCTTGTTGTTTCTAATTTTTTTTTTCTTGGCTCCTCTCTTGTAAAGTGGCCCTACCGTGGTCGGCAAAAGGAGAAAAGTTTCCTGTATGAGATAGTAGCTAACAAAAAAAACGGCATTGACGTTGACAAATGGGATTATTTTGCAAGGTACAAATCTTATGAGTTTTGTTTTTATTATGAATTCCTACTGAAACAATGCTGTTATATTGATCCCATTGTTAAATGCTCTCTCTGGAATATTTTTAGGGATTGCCATCACCTAGGAATCCAGAATAATTTTGATTATAAGCGATTACTTAAATTCACTCGGGTCTGTGAAGTAAAAAACCAGAAGCATATCTGTACCCGCGACAAGGTAAGCAGCGTGTGTGAACCAAGGGGACACTCAGCAGCGAAGCGTGTGTGAGGAGTAGCAGCACACTGTGAATGTGGGGGGCACAGCAAAGCCCGTCCCGGGCAGCGGGGTACAGCTGCACCCTGGATTGCAGGGAGATTCGGGGGTTGCCCGCCAGACGCTTTTGTAGCCCGAGAGAGGAAGAAGCAGTCACTGCTCTGAAAGCTGTTTGCAGAAGCAACTGGTTTAAGGAAGGGAGGGACAGAGCAAGCCTCTGTTTGAGAGGGCTTGCGGCGGGTTCTTTTTTGGGTGGCTCCCCTAAACGATGCATGACAGCCCGCTGGTGGGTTATACCTTTTGTGCTGCTTTTGTAGCCGGAGAGAGGAAGAAGCAGTCACTGCTCTGAAAGCTGTTTGCAGAAGCAACTGGTTTAAGGAAGGGAGGGACAGAGCAAGCCTCTGTTTGAGAGGGCTTGCGGCGGGTCCTTCTTGGGGAGACTCCCCAAAACTATCGGCTGTGCCTAATCCTGCCCCAGGTCTTCCAAGCAAGCGGTACATGTGGCTTTGGCGATGGGCTGCTAAAGGAGCATGAGGTCCCCTTCTCTGCCCTGACTGCCTGAGGTCGCTGTCAGGTCTCTGCTCTGGCTGCCTGCGGTCACTGTCAGGTCTCTGCTTTCCTGCGGCGGCCCATTTCAAAATTTGTAAGTTGTGAAAAATAACCATTGTGCTCTATGCTGCAAATGGAAGGAGGCACGTCATTTGAGTCCTTGATTGTTGTAGTCTTCCAATTAAGACAATGTCAAAAGTAAAAGATGATTGGGTTTTTTTGATTCAGGAAGTTGGAAATTTGTATGATATGTTCCACACACGGAATTGCCTGCACCGGCGAGCATACCAGCATAAGATTGGCAACATCATTGAAATAATGCAAGTATTATACTTTCCTTTTCTTGCATTCCATTTGTTTTTAAATTCTTGAAACTGTATATCTGTTTGGCATATTCAGATAATCAGTAAGGTGTGACACAGAATAAAAGCTGCTGGGCTGTAGCCCAACTCTTGTGGCAAGGCTCAGTGCTTAGAGTATCATAGAGGCTGTGATTAACCAAAAAAACAAGAAGAGGAGGACGACAACATCCTTCCGCATGAAATTCAGTTAGAGGAAAGTTACTGGAGCCCTGGAGAAGTGTAGGACCAGGGCATACTTAGGCTGTTTTAACTGCTGACAGCTGAAGTCAAATCTTTATCTACAAGTCAGAGGCTGCGTATCTCAAACTGGCTGTTACTGATGGAGTAAAGCAGCAAGCAAGCTTACTGCAGCTGGGCTAAGCCCCAACCTTGTGTTTGTGTAACGCCACAGCAGGAGCTGTTCAGGACCAGCTCAGCTGGCTGCCCGTGCTTGCACCTCTCTTGTTGATGCCTGCAGAAGTTTCCCTCGTAGCATTCTTCTTTTTATTTCCCTGGAAAAGCAGAAATACTAGCATCCCCAAATATTTTTTCATGAGGATCTTGGCTGCTGAGTTTGGAAAAAAGGAACACAGAGGATTACACAGTACAAGAGTGATTCGTGACCGCTTTCGTTTCATAAAGTTCAGCTCCTGGCTTAGTGATCCTCTAAAACTCAGACTGAAAATGCTCAGGTTTGATAGTACCTACATGCGAGGAGTAAAGCAGCCAAGAAATCTAGTTCTTGGCTTACTGTAACTATAGCGGCCTATCCAAATGAGCATTCGAGCTGGAAATGAGCACGAGGTACAGGGAACTCCAGAAGAAATTGATCTTTAGAACATTGTTTTTTCCCACCTGAAAATACCACGCATGTGTGATGCTCTGCCTTTACAACACTTTGTATTCTCTCAGTTACCTCCTGGAGCAACGAGTCTGTAAAAGGATGTGGTCGTCACTGCAGCGGCCTCATTGCAGCCGAGTGACCGTGTCACTGTCTTGCAGGGTTCTGCAGTTGTCTAAGCCATGTTACACTCATAGTCTGAAGCAGAACAAAGTGAACTTGCTCATTCATTGAAGGGAAGTTAAGATCTGATCTGAACCCGTTTTCAGTAAATGGAAAGACTGTTGAAATGTGCAATGGCAGCGTGGAGCTAGGACATAATGCGGTGCGACCAGGGTCTGATGAGTGCTTGGAATGCAGTTTCATCTATTGTCTTCCATTTATAACATACTAATGCCTTTCTTTTTGACTCTTGAGCAATAAGGTGTTTCAAAACGATGCTGTCCCTAAGTCTTAATTTTATCTCAAACTAGGATTACAGAAGCCTTTCAGAAAGCAGACAAATTTTTGAAAATAGAAGGCTCTGGAGGAAAAACATACCAGATTTCTACAGCACTGGAAGACATGGAAGCCTACACTAAGCTGACTGGTATGAGCTCTAAGAATTTTTTTTTAAGTAAAAGAACACAAGTACCTGTTAAAATGCTGTTTTTACAGCTGTCGGCAGAGTGGGCCCTTTGCCATGACCAGGACTCTCAAGTGCTGCTTTTGTGCACAGATGGTGGGGCAGACCTGGACCGTCCAATCTCTCTGCTCTCATCTCTATCTGGGAGAGCAAGACCTTCTGGTTTAAATTACTTCTGTGTTGAGAGAGGGAGAGAAGCACCAACTTCTTATGTTCTGCACGCATTCAAATTCAGATTATTGCAAGCAGTGCTGCCAGGAGGTCCTGCCTGTGCCCTGAGTTTGTTGCACTTGTGAGAAGTGGGATGTAAGTTAGCTCTGAGCAACACTACATCTAGCTATGTCAGGTAGAGAAGCATTGTAGGTGTGTTGTGGTGTGAAACCAACCCCAAGGCAGGTTTCAAAGGGCTCTGATGGGGTCTGATTTGATTTGCTTAAGACGTCGCTACCCTGCTTGGAAATATAACAGAAGAAAATGGAATATATGAACAACTTAGTTTATTGCTGAAAGTTTCTGCTTGCTCGGATAAGAGCTTGTGAGAGTGGTTCTCGCAGGGTGAGTACATGGAGCAGCATCCTGCTTGAAGACATGTGAGGGAACTCCACTGTGGTTATGGAGTGAAGCAAACAAGAGTTGAGCCTTGTGATGTTTTCCTGTTTCTCAAGGTCTGGCTCAGTGCTGTGAACAGGAAACACAGAGAAATTACTGAATTAATGAAAATTGGCTTGAGTTGTGTTGTGTCCCGTTATGTCATTCCACGGCTTCCCACCACTGTGACGTCTTGGTTTTGTCTGTCCCTCCTGGTCTTCACTGCGATGGACACCGATGTTCCTTCGGCTGGTCTTCAGTGCCGCAGCATGCCCTTACCAGCTTCATGCAGCATGGGGGTGGAGGCCAGTGTGGGCAAGGCAGGTGCCCTGGGGGTTCGTGGTGGGGTGTCTGCAGGGCAGAGGATGCTGCTGAAGAGCACTCCCGAGTACTGGCAGCTCTTGCAGTACCTGTGAGCTACAGCTCACAAGGATCCCAGGGCATCTTTCCTGAGTGGCAAGGCAACTTTTCCTGAGTTTCCATCACCGAGCCTTGGCTGGTCGCTGGAGAGACTCATGGTCCATGGACAAGGTGACAGAGGCCGAGGGCACTGTTGCAGAGGATCCTGTGTGCGTTAACCTGTGTCATGCCTTCTGCTGGTGATCCTTCATCTGTTACGGACACATTCCAACCGTAGACCTGCTGCGTCAAGCAGGTGAAGGGGCTGCACAGAGTGCTGAGGCGAGTAGCTGCCTGGCCCCTCTGCCCCAGGGGAGGAGAAGGGGCTAGCTTTGAGGGACAGGAGCTATTGGGGAGTATGCATTGTGATGCTGGGCTGTGTAAGGCTGGGCAGAAAGTCAAGAACTGAGATTCGGTTCTTGATGGGCTAGGATCTGTTTCCTGGGGGCTGTCTGGTCTGCAAGATCAGCCGTGCCAGCAAGTCAGCACCAGGGTCCTGTTGCAACTGCCTGCTGACCTGCGGTACCTGGTGAGCACAGCTCAGGGCAAGGAGACCAGGACTGTCCCCTGCCTCTTGCAGTCTGCTGCAGCAAGGAGCTGCTTGCCGGGGCCATCCTGTTCAACAAGGAGAGTTGAACATCAAGGAGAGTGAGGCAAGGAAGAGGCCAACATCAGATTTAACAGTGGACCATGGAGGACAAGTATGTTCTCCTCCTCTCAAACCAAGGCACTTCCTTCCTTGTATCCAATGTTTGCAACCTGGGGGCTTCTGAGAGGACAACATGCTTGTTAGCGGTAGTCCATGATGAGTGATGCTTCTGTGAAACTGCCCAGGATCTTTGCAAATTATAAACCTCCATGAGGTCCTGCAGCAGCAAGTTCCCAGGCTTTCTTCCATGATGGGTGAAGAATCACTCTTAGTTTTTAATTTGGTGCCTCCTGATTTGGCAGAAAACTCTAGTTTTAGTAAAGGATGAGACAGCAAACCATTCCATGTTGCTACTGCTTTTGGATAGTGGATGCATTCATGGGCTTCTTATTTCCCCTGCGTTATCTCTTCTCTCAGCCGTTTGTTCCTTGTGGAGAAGGTCCTGACTTTGGTCAACCTTCTCCATAAAAACAATCCTCGGTTAAAGGTGTTTTGGTGCATGGCTTGCTTATGGAGCGTGTTGGGAGCTTCTTAAGTCAGTTGTGGTGCAGGGAGGCGCGTTGCACAGCTGTGATTGTATCATGTGTCAAAGCTGCCAAGGTATGTCGGGCCGGGGAGCACGAGTAGACACAGAGTGCAGCTGCATTGGCTGCAACAGACGAGCAGAATCCTGACAGCAGCAGCCTCTTTAGGACAGCCAAAAAGAACCTTTCTCCTCAAAGCCACATCAAAAGAAGCCTGTGTCTTGCTGCTTCTATTGATGGTGGAAAGCACACTGCATACCTCGCTGTCATGTGGAGACAGGAGGGGGGACTTTGATGCTGGTATCTACAATCAGAAATTCTGAGGGTTTAACAGGAGTACTTTGTTCTTTTACGAGACAGAGCACCCTCGTCCCTGAGCCAGGTAGTGCTCAGGGTTCGGGTGTTCTGTTGAGCAAGACTGGCTAAATAAGAAGAGGAAGCAGCCTGCAGTGAAACACTAAAACTTGTGGCAAGGATGAGAATTGAGCTGGTTTTTCTGTCAACAACCGTTAGGAATCTAATGATAACCAAGACGGTGTTGTAGGTGACTCCTCAGTGGTCAGGCTTAGCACCTGCAGTTGTTCTCCTAAAGTGAGCATCTTTCCTGGACCAGCAGTGTTTCTTGTTGCTGTAACCTTTGTCCCTGCTCATGCATTTTGCTGTGACACTGGATTGTGATGTACTTAACAAAAACCAATGCAACTTTGGCAGATAATATCTACCTGGAAATTCTGCACTCAAGTAGTCCAGAGCTGAAGGAGGCACGGGAAATCTTGCGTAAAATAGAGCGACGTGAATTATACAAGTTTTTAGGAGAGACTCAGCCTGAAACAACGAGGAAGATTGTAAAGGTAATGTCCATTGGTGGAAGGTTCTGAATTCTGTCCCTGTAAGAGTGTCCTCAAAGTTGCTGATCATCTGTTTTTTCTTTTCTCTATCTCTCTGTGAGTTTTGGTGGGGTTCTTTTGGTTAACTGCTATTCCAAAAACAGAGTCAAAAGCTCTCCTGTCTTTATGTAGCTGAGCCATGAAACATGTTATAGGAAACTGGGAAGAGCTTTATCTACAAACAGCTAGAAGAATGGCAAGAGGTGGGAATTCAGAAGTTGATTATTGCAGAACTATTTTCAGAAAAAGCCTCTTTTCTGAAAAATAGAAAATTGCATAAAGAGCTGTTATAGTCCAGTGATTGAGATTATCACTAGCATCTTGTGCTCGTTACAATTTCAAAATAATAAGGAACATATTTGCTTTGAATGTTGATTTGTGTGCTTTGCTTTGAGAACAAACGTCAAACTGAATAATAACTTCTGAATTTCTTGCTATTAAATTCTGTACTTAGCATGAGCACGCATGTATTTTTTCCAGTGTTTGCTTTTCAAAGCGCTCATCAGACGTCAGTTTAACTGCTGTTGTCTTATTTCAAAATAATATTGTTTTGGAGCTGGCGTTAATTCAGATGGCTCAGCTTTTCTCGTAATGTGCTACTCCATGTTACCAAAAAGTTTCTCCCCTTCTGAGGCGGAGTTCAGGATAGATAACCTAATGGATGAGGGGATGGGCAGGAGGGTGGATTGCATGAGTTCTGCCTTGGAAGAGTTCCTTTTAAGAGCTTGGTTAATGAAAGTAAAGCCTCTCACTTGGAAAATCCAGCCGGAGGCGTGGAGTCATGGGGTACCCAGTGCATTGTGTTGAAGGGAGCCTGGATCACTGTTGGTGCCATAGTTATATCCAGCCAGCGCTTGCAGCTTCTGATGCTCAGCTGAGGGATTGGGGGGGGGCATTTTTCCTCCTGTGGTGCAGGAGCTGCCTGTTGTAGGAGTGTCGGAGGCTCAGCTTTCCCTGAACTGCTGGAGGTGAGCAGTGGCTGCGCAAGACGTAGCTGTGGCTGTTCTGCTCCTTAAGAGGTCACAGCGCCCTTGTGTTTAGAATCATAGGATCATAGAGTGGTTCGGGTTGGAAGGGACCTTTAAAGGCCATCTAGTGCAACCCCCCTGCAATGAGCAGGGACATCTTCAACTGGATCAGGTTGCTCAGAGCCCTGTCCAGTTTTGTGATCCTCAAGCCACAGGGGAACATCCCAAATAGCTACAGAGTTCTTAAATTCAAAGCTAAGTTTCCAGTTAATGCAAACTGGAAGAGGTAACTTGAAAAAAAGCAAGAATACAACATCAAAGAAACAGAAAAGTTAGCGTACATACATTCTGATGCAGAACAGAAAAAGAATAGCTTATAAACAGGCTGCCTCCTGCCAGCCGCCTCCTGGCAATTCTTTCCTCTAGGTTTACTCTCAGTCTGAACCTTTCCTTGGCTTCCTGAGTCACAACCAACCATGCGCATGCCTCAGGTTGGCAATTCATGTGATTCCCTGCTCTTCGTAGCAGTCTCCCCATCTTTGCAATGGGGAAATCAGCAGCAAAAGTCCTGCTGCTCGTTGAGTTCCTTCCCTTCCGGACCTGCCTCCTGGATGCTCTCTGCTGCGCTTGAAGCTTTTCTCCCATGAACCTCAGTTACTCCTGGGAAATCTTGCTTCATCAAATCCTGCATCTCCCCCAGAACGCAGCAGCCTTGGGCAACCTTCTCTCTCCTGCCCTGCCACAGCCTTTATTGAGAACTTGCACGTTTCACCAACAGCTTCTCTCCATCACCCCATGCTCCTCTGCTTGGCTTTGGCCTAGCTGTCAGCAGGGAATGTTCTCTTGGGTCCAAACCCAAACAAAGCCCCTGTGTGGGTTTCAGCTTTTGAAGTAGGTCACTGTCCCCTCCAACGTTTGCCTGGGAGCTTCCTACTTCTGTTGTTTTGGGGTTTTTTTTATAGTGATCAATGACATTACTGATCTTGTCTGTCTCTTGGGGTTTTACATGTTTCAATGTGTAGGTATAAAAGCTTTATTAGAGGGTGAGATCCTGCAGCCTTTCATTTAAAAAAAAAAAAAGTTCAGTAAAAATGTTTAGCATTCAGCTTTGGGGAACTGAATTGCAAACCATTTGTATTAACAAAACAATTGTTTGAAGGTGCTTGTGTTCTGCTTTTGTGGAGCTTTCAGCATCCTGGATGGACTGGCTCCCTTTTTCTCCTCCAGTCCCCGTTCCTTTCTTCTGTCATCGGGTGTAGAACTCTTCCTCCACAGGCTGGCTCTATTTGGGCCTTCTCGATTAGAAAAGCGTGCTTTGTTTCTAAAACTTGGTAGAAAATTTATGGCAAAGGCATGCAAGGATTCAAACAACCAGATTGCTGCAGGAAGAGTCTGTCGAGCTATGAAGGAACGAAAGCTTTAGTTTGGCGACATGTTCTGTCTTGCATTTTGTTGCCTTGGTCTAGACCCGATGGTGTATAAATGTAATCTGAGTTACTGTCCCTTTTCAGAGTAATAGCCTGGCAGAAAGCATCGCTAATTCCAAGCCAGAAAAGGATCCTCCAGATGTGGAGCTAAAGGCTGAAGACTTCATAATTGATGTAAGTATCTCTCAGAGTGGGCTCATTACGAACACTTCCCCAACACAGAGTGAAGACTGGAGATACCTTCCAATATATTTGCAAAGTGAAAAAACCAAAACCACACACAAATGCTGTCCTAGCTCAAGGGTCTGGGAGCTGAGAGCAGGGAGCTTCCCCCTTGGTGGGTTTGCTGTGGTTGGGAGGGCCTGGGGCAGAGGCTTCAGGCAGCTTCGTTTGGGCTTTTCTGCTCCCGGTGACGAATGTATTCTCCCGTGACTGTCCCTGCTCGGAAAAGGAGTGGTGAGGAAACCTTTGGAGTTTAACACATGGGTGGTAAAATTGGCAGCCTAGGAACTACTGCTGCAGGTCGTGAAGGCAAGCAAACTGTGGGCCCCGGGGGGCGGGGGGGGTAACAGGCGCTTCCAGTGGCTTCCAGGCTTCTGGTGTTGCACGCCTGATGCGTGGCAGTCATGCCCGGGCTTTGTCTTCTGCATAAAGCACCTTGCTGCCACAGCTCCATCTCCAGCCAGTATGGGCGGGAGGGAGAGAGCCGGAGACAGAGGAGAGAGCTTGAGCAGTCTGCAGGTATCACACAGCTCAATCTCTGTTCTTGGTGAATTCTGGGAAGAGCTAACGAATGCCTTTCCATAGGGTGCATCACAGACTGTTTCTAAAGTTCCCTCACATTGAAGATTCGCTTCAGGCTGGGTAAAATTGCAGCAGGTACCTTAGCTTTAAAGTAGTTGACTGTGCTTTCTGTGTCCCACAAATTGAAGTTATGGGGGAGCGGGCTCCTCCCTGCTGGCCGCAAAACTGTGGGTGTACCAAGCAGATGGATGTAATGTCATTTAAACCTCATGTTTAAAACTGTAAACTCTACTGCTGCCTCCGCAGGTTGTGTGTTTCGGGGAGGCACAGGCAATCACGCTTCCACTGTTTGAAATGGGAGTGTCTCAGAGCGCGACTGGGAGCTGGTTGGTGTAAATGTGAATGCCCACTTGGCAGCTTCAGAGCGAAGGGTGGCGAAGAAAAGATACAAAATGCAAATACCAGATTCTTTCATTAAGTAACCGTTTGTTAATTACTGTTCTGTTTGATTAGTGTCAATTACAGAACTATAGTGCGTATCCTTTTGTATTTATTGTGAGAAAACTAAAGACAAGCATTAACAAATGCCATTTGCTTTGTTCTACATTCAAGGTTATCAATATGGATTATGGAATGAAAGAACAGAATCCCATTGATAAAGTTCTCTTCTACTGCAAGGCTGATCCTTCCAAGGCAGTCAAGATCAGTAAAGAACAGGTAGTGTCGTATCTTTTTCTGCTGGCCCCTTCTCCACAGCTCGTGGTGGAAATGATTACAGTCCTTCACGGCAGTTCTTGCAGGGGTTGTGGAGGCCGTGTCCTTGCAGGCCTTGGGTGCGGGTTGTACTACAACAGTCTGGAGCCCTGACAACTTTTGCACGTGAACAGTGTTTAACTTGAGTCTTAGAAAAATACAGTTGATTTGGATGAAGCTGATGGGTGGCTGCAGGATGTCTTTACTGCTTCCATTGGTATTCAGATGAAAAAATTGAAGTTCAGTGGAATCTGAATTCCAAGAAATACTAAAGCTCATTTCTTTTTTATTCGAAGGTTTCAAAGTTTTTACCCATGACGTTTGCAGAGCAGGTTATCCGGGTTTATTGCAGAAGTCAGGATCCAGTTATCGTTTCAGCTGCAAAACAGTATTTCATTCAGTGGTGCATAGAGAACGATTTCACCAAACCACAGGTAACAAATCCACTTGTCGCCTTTCTGGTTCTTAGAGCTCTTCACCTTTCTCCATAAGCTTGCTCCTTCATTAAAACACTTGGCATTTCAGGCCTTGTCTTTGTGGCAGTGCCACTCCTCACTGACCTAGCTTCTGATTTTATCATAGCTCGCATCTGGGCATGCTTTGGTTTCACTGAAACAGTGGTGGATTTGCATGGATTGAATTTAGGTGAATTGAAAAGTTGCGTTTTTATAGCAGAGTTAGCATCCACACAAACACTCGCTGGTTCATGGATGCAAGTTTCCACATACAAAGGCTTAAAACAGCACTGAGAGGCTAAGAGATGTAGGGAAGAGGCCAGATCAGTTCTCCTATTGTTTTCCCTCTTTTCCTTCTTTGCTCACCAGCTGCTAAACCCACTCCTCCCCCGGGAGATTCACGGCCAGTCTGTTTGCTCTGAGTTAGAGTGGGAAATACCTGCGGGAACAAGATTGCAAACCTCTTCTCTGTGGGCAGCTGGTCCGTAGCCTTGAGTCACTGGAGAGGCCTTACCTGTTCTCTGTGCTTCCCTTTTCTGTCAACTCTGGGAACGTACAAGTTCCCAGCTGCGAGGAAGGAAGATGGTATGTTACAGCTCATCTGACGTTTTGTTTTGTGTTGGGAATCATGTCAGAGCTGCCCTGGCAGGTAAAACGGAGACTCCAAAGCAGGTCCTGAGTCCATGCGTCTTGCTTAGCATTCCTCCTGCCAAAGGTGGTGAAGAAGCCTGTTAAAATCGTGGCTGTTAACTGGCGAGGTCTGATGCAGCATCCCCAGCGTGTCCCCCTGGTTGAAAGGTGGGCGCCTTCATCTAAAATATGACCACGTGCTGATCCTTCCAGTAGGCCCATCATTGTAGGGAAGCAGTTATGGTTGCATCAAGTCAGATTTTCTCAGCAGAAAATGGTAACGGAGCCACTCCGCTATGTGCATGAGCTGGGGAGCTGCTGGGCTGGACGCATTGATAGGTTTGTGCTGGCAGATCTGCCATTACATTCCTTCCCTAAGGGCCGGCTTTCACTTTTGTTTGTCTGGTAGTCACACCAGGGAAAGGAATGGACTGCTTTAGGTCCATGCACGTTTTCAGATATAGCTGGGATCAAGCCTCAAAGCAAAATAAATGCTTGTATCAAAATCTCCCAAGTTGCTTAAGGAACGCAGTGTGAAGGATTTGTTATGTGAACCGTGTATTTTTCCTTTTCATCCAGCATGTTAAATCCCTGACTTTGTGTCTTACTTGCTGGAGACACCTACGAGTCTCCTTTGTGGGAAGAGCTACCTTCTCTGAAATGAAAGGCCACCCAGTTGATGAGTGCTCTTATGTGCAGAGCCACAGCCACAGGCACGAACACCTTAAGGCTCGCTCTTATGTCATACTCCCGGCATCCATCTTTTAGGAGGAGTTGTTATTATTTCTAAGCTTAGAGAGCTTATTGCTCTCGTGCCTGTGTTTGCAGTGCCTGAGCTCTGGGTTAACATACGTATCTGGCGAGGGTGAGCGCCGCTGCCTCGGACCTTAGACCAGTTACTGTACCAATGTTACACACTTTAGGATGGCAAGAGGCACATGCAAGCACCTAACGCTGGTAGGTCCACAGCTACAGCACCTGCGACAGATCTTTAAGTGGGATACCTTGGCGAATTCAGGGGAAACACTTGGAATCACGTTTCGGGTTCATGTACCGATGCCCAAGATAAAGCCTGCTGATCTTCCTGGATTTGCTGGTGGTAATTTAGGAAGAGGTGAACCCTTTAGGAGTGGTGAAGGCTTCTCAGGTATGCGGGGCTGGGGGGGGAGTTCTCCCCACCAGGTGCTGCCACTGACTGCAGCAGTTCCCACCTCTGAGAAATGCAGTCTTCAACCTTTGTTGACTTACGGTGCTTCTCCCACCTTGGATTTATTTTTTCTGCTAAGTCTGATGCTGAGCTGCTTTTACCCCGCTTTAGGATAGAAAGGTGAAGGTACTGTCATTAATGTTTTCTGACTCTCAATAACAGGATAGCGATGTGGTTGCCCCTCATCTAACTCCAATGAAGAGAAGCTGGAATAACATGGGAGATGCTGAACACAGGGCAGCCCCAGAGCCCAGCTGCAGACAAAGGCTTCCTTTCGACATGTAATGCCTCTCCTGCTAGCACTGCTCGGTCTGCCCCTTCGGAAGATGGGCAAACCTCAGCAGCAGCTCTTTCAAAAGCTGGTTGGATGGACTGTCAGAATGTATGGGGCAATGCAGAAATGCATTTTACAGCACAGTGTGTTTTAATGCCGGTACTTAAACAAAGTGCATGTTCCAAAGGGACTTTTAAAAACCGAACAGCCTGTGAGAGCAGAGCAAACGCGGTTCTTGTTCATCTTTGAATGTATGGGCGCTGTGTAGCAAGAATCAACTGCAGCTCGTTGTTATTACAAGAAGTGTGGAAGAGGCGTTACTGCTCCCTCCTGAAGATGATTGTGATACTGTGTGAGCTAGCAGAGGAACTTCCAGCTCAGGTTCTTGGTTTGTTTTTTTTGTTTGGGTTGTTTTTCCCCAGTGCCGGAGGAAAGGAGGAGTAAGTACGCGTCTGAAGGTACAGTGGGGTAACGGAGCTTTGAAATAACCATAGGTGGCATCTTCAAGAACAGCAAAACGCATTTCATTTAAAAAAACAAAAGGAGGGAAGAGAGGGGAATCTTTTTAACAACTAAAGATTCCTTTCCTGATACTCAAAAAGCTGATGAGGACACAGACCTCTTGCTATACGCGTGACCACAAATTTTACTGAAGTAACAATGCATTGCAGTGATGTGCGGCCTTTTATTGTTTCATAGTGTATTTTTGATACGTTGAATGTTATATTTTTACTTGTTACACTGAACTGCAAAAGCTGCTCCAGCCGTCCATCATTTGCGTGCTTGCAGGGGAGCGGAGATACCCCAAGGCTGGTCCCAGCAGGTGGGTGAGCGCCCGGCTCTTGGCACAGTTACCGAGCCCCGGCGGGACCTCCACTGGCTCTGTTCTTCCTTGCACTGAGTGCACCTTGTGTCTGCATTGCACTGGGCTGGGGGGCCAGCTCTGCAGGAATTCTGCCATGCTGAGGTCCCTTCCCTGTTCCTCCTGGATCCCTGACTGCTGTTCCTGTGTTAATTTTTCTCTCCCTTGTAGAACTCCAAGGGTTCTTGCGTTTTTCCCCTTACTGGCAGTACTGATGGGAGTGTTGCTAAATGTCTGTCCAGCTGCAGAAGCAACCGAGGAGGAGCTTATTCCTTTCATCTCTTGCTCAGGTCCAAGAGGAAGGCTGTTTTCATGAAATAAAACGTAAAAGCTTGAAAAAGCCCATCTTCAAAAGTAAAAATAGCAAAATGTTCAGTAATGCTCAGAAACTGGAATAAGCTTTGGCTCTTTGTATCTGAAATGGGGAAAGAAAAGTTCAGCGTTCAGTTTTGGCGACCGAGCGTGGGTAACCGGCTTCCTTTCTGAAAGCCAACACAGCGGGGAGTCGGTGTGCGAGAACAGCGGAGACCTCTGCGTACCCAACAGCGGAGTGGAGGAGCAGGAGCGTCCATGGACTTACTCAGCTTTCATCCGTTGAAATGCCCAGAAGTGGTTTTGCGCTCTGCTGCTTTCCTATGTGCCTGTACTCCTGCGCCAGAAGGTGCTGTGGTGCGGCCTCTGCTGCTGGTGCCTGTAGCATTGTTCAGGGCTGCAGCTGTACCGTACCAGGTGACTGTCGGAAGGGGCCGTGACCGCTTAACAAGCTTTTAAACAGCTGCTTCTTATGCTTCAAGAAATGCCATCATAGAGTGGAGGCATTTATCTCCCTTGTCTGCATAAAATCAGGTATTGTTCAGGATAATGTCATCTTGGTATCGTTGCGTGGGTTTGTTCTGGATCTGTTCTAAAAGGTGCACTTTATATTTGGGAAGTAGCTTTTGCTTATGCTTAAGCAAAACCTTGTACTTAGTGTTAAGTTCTGATACAGAGCATTTCTTTTTCTCAAACACGTTAATCTGAGCCTCTCTGGACGAAGAATAAATTTATAAACAATGATTTTACTATTCTTTTAAGGAATGGCAGTGTGTGAACTTTATTGAAAAGGGCCTTGCTGCACAGTTGCAAACAGCGAAACGTGTTTGTAAAGGACAAATGCTGCTCTGTGGAAGTGCGGATCTTAATTTCTTGATTTATGTTTACCCAAGTGCAGTGTGAATGGTAGCAGCCGTGGACCAGCTCAGCCGTGAGGGGCTGAGGGTGGGAAGCTCACAGAGGCTGTGCTCGCAGAGGACCCAGCTGCTCCCTGTAGTGAAGCCGCAGCCCCGGGGCCGTCACCATGCCTGGGCAGAGCAGGCAGGCTCCCAATTCAGCGTCCTTGCAGCGGCCCCCTTGGCTTTAGGTCCCAAAGCATCCCTCCGATGCCATCTTTGTCCCCAGGTGGGGGTGGCAGGGTCAGGCGAGGCCCCACACTTCCAGGTCCTGGATGCAGAACTCCTCCCGGGGCGAGAGGGTCTCGTTGTCGAAGGTCTCGCAGGGGTGGCTGCCCCCGTGGTGCAGGTCCCTGTCCAGCCACAGCCCATATCTACCACTGGGAAGGTGCCGATGGCACAGTCAGCTGAGGGTCCCCTCTCCTGCCCCCTCTGTGCCTGGAGACCTCCCCAGCCACCTCCCAGGGGCCCAGCCACCTCCCTATGCCTTGTGCCCTCCTGCTGAGGATGCAGACACAAGGGCTGGGCCTGGGGCTGCCACCCTGCCTGCAGGCGGGGAGCAGGCAGGTCCCCTGGCAGCAGGATCAGGGGCAAGGAGAGGGCCAGTGCTGCTGGACACAGCCTCCACCAGTGTTTTTGGGTTCAAACCATGGGCATGTGCCTGGACCAAGCTCTGCAGGGCAGCCTGGGCTCAGATTGTGGCCCAACAACCTTTGGGGCTGGGGACCCCGTGGGCTGCCGAAGCTGCTGGTGTGGCTCCTACCTGCCCCCACCGACCATCAGCAGGTCCACATCCCCTTTCACGAAGAAGTTGTTCCTGCCTGTCCACCTGAACACCTGTGTGGGCACAACAGTCAGACGGGACTGTGGGCTGAGGCACAGCATCCTCCTCCCCATCCCTGTCCTGTGAGGGATGGCTGGGGGCTGCTGAGCAAAGCTGGCTCTGCCCGTCCCTCCAGTATCCCAGGAAGACCTGGCCCAGGTTGTGGGCACTGGACCTGTCAGCAGCCCCCTGGGGGACAGTGACCACCCACTGATGCTGCCAGCAGTGTCAGACACGGATGCAGACCCCAGCACAGGCAGATGTGGCTGAGCTGCCTCCATGTCCCTCCATGGCTGTGACCACCCTGGTCCTTGGTGATGCCCAGCTGGGAAGGGTCCCCTTCTCTGAGCCCCGGTCCCTGCATGGCTGCCTGGGATTTGCCTTCTCCCCCCAGTCCTGGATGATCATGAGGGCTACAGCTGGCAGGGTCCCCTGGCTGCTTCACCCACATCCAGCCAAGTGTGGTTGTGTCATCCCAGGCCCCTCCCCAGCACCTCCCCAGTATGACAGGGTCCCAGGGGCATTGCCAGCACCCCACACCCTGGGGTGCCCCACGGCTGGCTGCCTGCAGCCCCACCTTCAGCTCGGGGGAGAAGGAGAAGAGGAAGGTCTCGCCTGTCCCGTAGAAGCCATTGCTGCAGCGAATCGTGGTGGCCAAGAAGGCTCCAAAAGCCTGAGGGGAACAGAGTGGGGGAGTCCCATGCCACGGGGCTCCCCAACACTGGACCACATCCCCACCCTGCCGGCAGCAGTGAGGATGTGGCCAGGCCCCAGGTGATGCTGGGTTTGCTGCACCCAGCGCTGCAGGGCAGCAGGGCTGGGGAGGGCCTGGCGGTACCTGCGCCTCGGTGTCCCTGATGAGCAGCAGGGTGGGGCAGCCCTGCTGGCCCCCGCGCCGGTACAGCGTCCGCAGGCTGAAGCCATCCCGCCCGGTGCAGTACAGCAGGCGCCAGGGCTGCTGCATCAGCCGGGGGGGCAGGTGGGGGCCCAGCTGAGACAGAGGGGTCTCAGCCAGGGCTGGCAGGGCTGCTTCTGAGCACCCTCGTCCCACCCCCAGTACCCTTCCAAGAGATCTCCCCAAACACACCCCCCTCCAAGCATCCTCCCAAAAGGCATCTCCAGGCACCCATTCCCCCTAAAAATGCTCCCAAAGGGTTTCCTCAAGCTCCCAGCCCACCCAGCAGCCTCCCAGGATGCTTCCCCCAAGCATCTTCACCCTGAGAACCCTTCTGAGAGGTCTCCCCGAGCATCCTCCCCCTGGCATCCCACAAGAGGCGCTGCTGACGTGGCTGTCCCCAGGGATGGGGGATGTCACCGCTGGACCTGCCATGGCTGCGCGGTGCGGGGAAGGTGGGCGTGAAGGGAGGGGTCCCCATGTTGGTGGGAGGGTCCCTCACCTCCTGGATCTCCCTGTCCCGCAAGACACTGCTTGGCGTGCTCAGCACCAGCATGCATGGCTCCTCCAGGGCTGGGGCTGCCGCTGGGGCTCCCCCCGAGCCCAGCTGCCCTTCTCCGGCTGGGTCCCCACATCCCATGGGCTGCTCCTCATCCTGGCTGGGCTGGGGGTGGGTGGAGGTGAGCATCCCTGCAGACTGCCAGGGAGCAGCATCCCAGAACCTGCCCTGCAGGGAGTGTCTCCCATCCTGCACCCAGGGGCTGGGCAAAGGGGCCCAAAGGCCACAGGGACGGGCACTTGGTTGAGCCTCCAGCCCAGCTCCCAGCTGCTCGCTGCTCTCGACAGCCCTGCTGTGCTATGCAGTGCCATGCCACACTGCGCCGTGCTGTGCCACACCCTGGCAGGCCATGCCACCACTGCACACAGAAGTTCAAGGGTGTGAGGCCACCCAAGGAGGAGGAGGAAGAGGAAGCAGGGAAGGCTTCCACAACTTCAGCCCAACCTCAGCCGCAGCAGAAGAAGGGGTGAAGCCCGGCCGCTCTCCTCCCTGCCCATGGCCAGGCTGGCCCTGCAGTGCACACGGGGCCAGGGATGTGCCTTGGTCTTGGTGGCAGCTGGTGACAAAAGTGTCTCAGCTGCAAGGGCGCACTCAGGGCGGCCGTGGGTGCAGCCCCTGCTTGAGGTTCCCTGCTGCCGGTGGGGGACAGGCAGAAAACACCCTGAGGTGACAAGCAAGGGCAGCCCGAGCTCACCTGCCCCCAGGGTGCTTGGGCAGTGGGGCTACAGGGGCAGCTCCTCAGTGTGGCCACCACCCTTGCACCTCCCCAGCCCCTGGCCACGCATTCAGCCTGGCTGGCGCCCAGCTCCATGTTGCGCTGGAGCTCGTTCCCAGTGCCCATGGTGCCCTGTGGGACCCCACCATGCTGGACCTACCAGGAGGTGGTAGTGGGCACGGAGCCCCCTCATGGTGGGTGTGCAGGTGCTGCCGGGGCGCTGGGCGCCGCGCTGCTGGGGAGCCCTGGGTGCTGCACTGGGTTAATGTTCACCCACGCTGGCCCCTCCCTGGCCACCCGGTGTGTGACACAGGTGGGTGGGGCTGCTGGCAGCCAGCCCTGGCTCATGGGGGACCAGGATGTGTCCTCCCGCAGAGCCACGTTCCGTGTGGCGATGGGACAGGTGGGCAGGAGTCCCCCTCCAGCCAGGCGCTGGGTGGCTGGTGGCCGTCACCTCCTTCGCACCCTGGCCACTGCCTGGGCCAGGCTCTGGATCACCAAGTGGGGACCCCCGGAAGCAATGGGGGAGCCCTTGTTTTGGGATCAACAGGCAGGTTGTGCCTGTGTGGCTCTTTGCAACACAGCTGTTGCAGTGGTTGTAGCAACTGCCAACATCAGCCCGGAGAACATGGTGGCACGTGCCCCTCACTCCGGTAGGCACAGCCTTGGTTGATGTCAGGAGAGCTGAGGCTGGTTGGGGCTTGGCAGCTGCAGTGGAGTGAACCCCTGGCCGAGGCAGCCCCCTGTCTCAGGCACCACTGGAAAAGCTCCTGCAAACCAGAGAGGGGCTGCTGTACCCTGTGTGTCCTCTTCCCACTGATGCCACCCCCCCCCCCAAACCAGCCAGCATGGCCAGGAGCCTGTGAGCCCAACCATAACTACAGCCCATTTATGCCAATACAGGCATTTCTGTGCCCTGCATGGTGGCATGATGGCCCCAATGGCCTGTCCCAAGCCCCTCCCCCTCCTTCCCGCTGGCATTTTTGGGGTTGCTCCTCACCTCCATGGCAGGGCCCACTGTAGTACTGGCTGCCCCAGTGGGTCCCAGCTCCGCTGTCCCCACCAGGCTTTGATGGCAGCAGCAGACGCAGGATTGCAGCAGGAGGTTGGGGGTTCCTGGTGCCTGGCATGGCTGGCACGTGGCCATTGGCAGGGCCCTGGGTGGGCCAGGAGATCCTTGTGGCCCCAGAAGTCTCCCCTGGGACCCACCCCCTGCTCAGGAACCAGGACAGGGCACCCAGTCCCTGCTTGAGCTGCTGTAGGGCGGCCATCCCTGCCCCATCCATTTCCCTGCTCCTGCCTGTGCCCTGGTGCTGCCCCTGCCCTGCCCTTTCCATACCCCTGCCAGATTCTGTCCTGACCACGGCCATTGCCTGTTCCTGCCCTTGACCCTGTCCCTGCTCTGAGCCTTTAGCCCTTTGCTGCCCCATCCCTGTGCTGTCCCTGCTCTTGCCCCTGCCCATGCCTTTTCCCTGTCCTTGCCCTTGTTCCTGCCCTGTGCCTGTTTGTGCCCTGCCCCTTGCGCATCTGCCCCCATGCTCACACCTTCTCAGGAGCACTTCTGAGTCTGACTTTGGGACCTGCTCCCCTGGGCGACCCAGATGGGCCCAGCCTGGGCCGTGGGGCACTGGGAGCGGGGCCCTGGGCACCGTCACAGCAACAGATTCAGCTGCTGGAGGCAGAGGCCAGAGCTGCTGCCCGCGGCCCCTGGACTCAGCCCTGCTGCCACCCATCAGCATCGCCTCCCCCGATGGGTGAATTATTTTCTACTTTGTGGGAAGGGGGGCTGTAAAACAGGCAGCCCCTGGGTAGCCCCAGCTATTCACCCTCTGGCCAAGTGTTCTTTCACGCTGCTGTTGGGTTGCCCTCCACACAGCTGGCATCGCCTCAGACCACAGTGGGTGCCAGCATGCCCGACACCTGTTTGCCTTTTGGTGTGCCCGGGGCCACTCGCTTTCCCTCCCAACACTTCTGGTTGCTTTCAAGCCCCTCATGCCCCCTCCATGTGCCTCTCACTGCATCCTGGAGCCCCCGCACCCCTTTGTGCCACCCCCCATCCTCACTCCCAACAAACACAGAGCACACAAGGGGTGTTTAAAACTTGCAGTTTATTATGCTCCTCGACATGACATGCCACGCAGCCAGCAGCCCAGCGCCACCCAGCCCCTTGCGTGCCCCCACCATAGCCGAAACATGGGGCTGCTGCCGGGCCTGCCCAGGGTGGGGGGCTGAGCTGGGCTGGGGTTAGCATCCCCCAAGCGCTAATAGCAGTGCAGTAAGGCAGAAGTTTTAACTGTCCGGGAAGAAAGACGAGCCGTTTACACGAGCCTGGGTGCACTGGGCTCCCGCTTGCTCTGTACCAGGTGCAGTTTGGTTTCGACAGTGTCACATTCCTTGAAGTGTTGAATGAATGAATACCTTGAAATCCCTTGGGACTTCTCTTGGGATCAGTGGAGAAGGCGGCTGCCTGCTGCCCCCAGACCAGCGAGGAGGCTTCACACCGCAGCTCAGTGCCACTGAGAAGCCAGCCCAGGGGCTTCGCCCCGCTGGGTCACATTCACAGGGGCGGCACCCCCCCTCCGCGTA